GCATTACAAAAGTTATGGTAACATTAGAGCCAGGTTATGTTTTCTTTTTTTGATGATGGTGGGGGGGGGGGGCAAAGCCAGACATGTCAAGTCTCACAAAATTTGATCCTTTGCCACATTTTCAAGGCCCCGAGACCAAATCTCACTCATTTTATGCTCAGTTAGTCAAACTCTAACTTACCTTCCGCATTATTGGCCAGTGGAAACTCAAGAAGGTTAGGCTTTGTTTGTCGTAACAAATACATGATACTAAGCTTGGTTGTTTTGTATATAGTTTCAAGATTTCTGTATTTGCACTGATGCCAATTTGTATCACAATATTTTTCATCGATTATATTAAACTTTTGATTATCGTTCAATGTCATTTTAATCCTTCAAAATTCACTATTTAACTTCATTGAAAAAAAAAAATCGTGAGGAACATGTCCTAGACCCTCCATTACCCCTAGACAAGCGCGTATTCATGCCTTTGTCATGAGATTAGATATATAGGGTAGTCCACAATTTTATTTCCTATTTTAAGATTTAATAATTAAATAATTAAGGAAATGCAACCATGCGTTTTCAATATTTTGTAGACCAATTCAAACAGTTGTTATTGCCATGTTTTTTCTTTTGTTTTTTCACTCCAGTGAGTAGTGTAACCCCATAAAATGGAAACTGTGGAAAAAATATTCAATGCGTCGTTTGGCTTGCAAAGAACAAGACAGTGATTACGGTGCAGCGTAATTACAGACGCCACTATCGGAAAGAAGTATGGGGGTATGTTAAAGAGATCGTGTATCGCACACCCATGGCAAATATCATGGAGCTAAAGACCAGAATACGGACGCCATCGCCACTGTAACTGTGGACATGTTGCAGCGAACGTGGATTGAAACCGAATATCGGTTAGACGTGCTGAGAGCCACTAATGGTGTACACGTAGAAGTATAATGACATGTGAATAAAAACTGTTTGAGTTTGGCTACAAGTTGTTGAAAACTGCATGGTTGTATTTCCTTAGTTAATTAATTGTTAAATTTTAAAATTGGAAAGATAACATTGGACCATCCTGTGCTCTTGGTAATTAATCTACCTTTTCACCTCTGCAAAGTGTACTTGGAATTGCCCCTTCCTCGTCCCAGTATTACTGATTTAAATTTCCGGGCGACTTTTTAATGAAAACTTTCTGGCATTTTACCAACTAAATCTTTCTCACACGCCAAACTGAAGCTCACTCCTATCCTGGCTACCCTATTTATAATGGTTATTTCTAGGATTTAATGTGAGGCAATCGTGGAAATCCTTAGGTATCCCGGAAAACAGGCTAACTAAAGGTCACCTTGAAGAGAGGGTGCTAAGTACTTGATCCTGTTCTCCCTCCCCCTTCAATAAAAAAAAAGCGATGAGTAATATATATAACCACATCTAAAGATGGTTGGATCATACTGAAAGATGCCATAAAGTGAGCTTGATATTTTGAGCCCAAAGCTATTGACATGGTCAAATTGTTAATGGAGTTTTTCAGATTCCACTTAGCACTGGATATTTCTGATGTTTTTTAAAAGAGAAAATGTAATAATATGTGTTCTTTGGTTCGACTGCTATGTAGATTTATATCACACAAAATAAAACCGTAAAATTGTTACTTTATTGTCAGTGCAGTATGTTTCCTGATTACCTGATTCCTCTCCTGAAATACGATAGAAACTGTTTGGATTCATGGCCTTCAACCTCACGATGTTGTACAGGGGAACCTCCGAGAAAGTCGTCAAGTTCCACAGTTTTATAAGCTGCAACTCCAGCTTCATCCTATTTATAGAGTAAAAAATATCGCGCGTATAAAAATAAATCCTCCATCTCTGTTTTGTATTTATTTTTATTTTGGTAAGATGAAGAGATCAAAAATCAAATGGAACATGTTCAAAAATCGATGCTTACATTAGCAATTTTGTTTTGTTTATTTGGGTACAAGTTACTCATTCGTTACTGGCAAAACAAATTTTGAAACAGGTAGAGTTTGCTAGAATGTTTTGCTGACATGGATAATTTTGAACAAGATAACAAATCCATAACTTTCTTAGACCGAAAAATTTTTTTAACAATGATAACTAGCAATCGTTGTGTGTGTGTGATTAATAAAGCATTGAAACGTCTAAACACATAATTAGATGCAAAATAAGATCAAACACTAAGCGTGTTTGATAAAAAATGTATGCCTAAATGTTGGAAATAAAAATATATATAATTTTATCTAGAGCTGATTTAGTTTTATTAAACGTGAATAATTATTTTTCTTATATATCATGCATTCTAAGTGGCTTCAAAACAAGTTGTAAGTCTAATCTTGAATATTATAACTAATTCAAAAACAGCATAACATTTGTTATTAAATTTTTATGTGATTTGCATTTTTTATATGATTTACAGGTCAATACTTACTCGAGAGGTTTGAGAGCCTAACCAGAAGTGTATATGAACATCAAGTCCACGACGAGCTGGCTTCGGCTGGACAAAAACACAATATTTATAAAACTAAACTTTATATACTTAGTTTATTTTAAATGTTTAATTATATTACTGCTCTTACAATGGTGTCACACGCATTATTTTGAACCTGAGCGGGACTTTATACACACAGGGGCAAAACGCTCAGGCTAGAGACCTTTATGGCTCAGGTATAGTTGTCCATAATTTTGAACTACTGAACAGTCAGCGGTACCCACCGCAGCAGAAGCTTTGAACCAAAGAAAGTGATTGACTGTCACTTTTATAATACACCATAGCTGAAAGGGTTTATCAGAATCGCAGTGTGAACCTTGAATATTCCTTTCCACAGCCCGTTTGTTTGTTTGAAGTTAAGCACAAAGCTTCAAAAGGGGCTGTCTGTGCTTTGTCCACCACGGGTATCGAAACTCGGTTTCTAGGGTTGTAAGTCCGTAGACATACCGCTGTGCCATTGGGCCCCTACCCCGGCATTGTTTATTTACTATTGTACAATATCATATAACTTTATCTTCTTCTTTAACATATTTTAAACAACATTTTCAGGTGAAAGTTAATATCTTTATTTTATGAAGTGTGTAAGATATTATTTAATGCATTTTTACGTGGAACATTTTTACTGCACAAGTAAAATAAACTAATTTTTCAGTATTTTAGATATATAATGTTAACTTTTCACATTATAACTTTATTTCATAGCAACAGTTCACTGTAAATATATCGTACCTTCATTTCAATAGTTTTCTTAACTTATCTATCTAGTCTAATGAACAATAGCATTATCTCGAGAACCCAAACTTTGTCTTACCTTCATAGCTGAATCACCTTGTTCACCATATTCTGTTGCCTGTATTAAGTAGATTCAGAAGAGATAGTTTATGATTTGTTTAAACAACATAGAGGGAGCCACGCACAATTATGTAGTTTGCTATATATTATTAAAACACTGTAAAAATCCATATTAAATATTTATTTACTGATCTTGATTAGCATTCTATCGTCAACAACTAAATAAGTAATCATCTGTATTCAATAGATCACTGAGAAGAAAGCATAAAAAATATTAAACCAACATTAAAGGTATAAAAATATATTTATTAGCAAGTTTATAAAACAATCATCTACTGAAGTGTTAAGAAGGAAACAGGATTTTCTTTTCCATACGCTTAGCAGTATTGAATAGCGACCAACGAATGATTGTGTTAATTGGTCGGTATCCGTACGCTTGTAAAAATATGATTTTTAACGTGATAATACCACACAAAAAAAACACCTTTACTATTAGCCTTGTAATGCCTGCAATTGAAAAGCTTAGAAGGACAGTCCTTTTCTCTCCCATGGTTCTGACCTAGCACCCTGCGACGTTCGTATTCTGTAATCCTCTCATTTCTACACATCTGATAGCCTTAAACTACAGTAGCTGGAGTCGTTACACCATGTCTACATTTTATAAAACTGGTATGAAAACGATGGAGGACGTGCATCACATTTACTAGGAACTGTGTTGATAAATCTTGTACATATTTTTAACACCATTGGTGTAGGTTGGTTAGTCGTAATCTGATACAGTTTACCGATTGGTTTGATTAGTTTTGAATTTCGCCCAAAAATACACAAGGGTTATCTGCGCTAGCCGTCCCTAATTTAACAGTGACAGGCTAGAGGGAAGCCAGCTAGTCAACAACCCTCACCGCCAACTCTTGGGCTACTCTTTTACCAACGAATAGTGGGATTGACCATCCTATTTACACTATTATAGTTATATTTAATAGTGATTTACTTTATTTTATGAATTTATTAATACAAAAGAATGTTAAATACGTGGGTTATTAAGTGACATTTCATGACGTCAAAATGCTGATGGTGCAGACAGAGTGCATAGAATTCATATACAATGTGTACGGAATACATAATAATTTTTATGTAACTAATTATATGATTATAATTTACTCTGTTACGAATGGAAACTTGTTATGATGAACGTGAGAAGCACGTTCTTCACAAAGATATACAGTTTAGGTACTTTTTTTTAGTCACAAGAAATTCTGAAATATCTGTTGTAGGAAAACTTTGAAGTAGCTGATTTAGCTATGATAAAAACCATAACCATAAAAAAGTGTACTTCTTGAAATATATATATATAGCTTAAGTTGTTAGGTACCGAGCGCTTATCCGAGTGTTCTTACTGTTATTAATTTAACCACGAAACAACAAAATCACTGTAATATTTTCAATAGTAAAATGGGTTGGTATAATTGAACTGCAAACGTCGTTTGGCATTACTTTGTTTTATTATTGCCGTTGTGTGTGTGTGTGCGAAGTTACACGAGGGCTAACTGCACATAGCAATCTATAATTTTGAGCTTACACACTATAGGTTTGTTTGTTTCTTATTAAGCACAAAGCTACACAAAGGGCTATCTGTGCTCTGACCACCATGGGTATTATCGAAACCCGGTTTCTAGCAGTATACAGACTGTAGGAAATGTAGCTAATCAACAGCAACCACCGCCAAACAATTCTTGGGCTACTTTTGTCTGACCGAATAGTGGCATTTGACTATTAATCTTTTAGAACACTTTATTCCTTTGTTATTCTCTAGAGATAAAATCTGTTCCGCCTGTGGCTGATATTGCTGCAATAGTGCAATCTGTGCAAAAAAGTAGAAGACAGCAATGTCCTTCACTAGTAGAGCAAATGATATCTTGAGGAAACGATCTCCTCTAGGTTAAATGAGAATAACCAGCGACATGGAGGCGCTAATCAATATGGGTATAGCCAACATTTCCAGTTAAGCAGGAAACGATAGGTTTAAACAGTGTACGCAGGATCTCAAGTGAGTTGGTTGACGGGAAGGCACCTTTTGTGAAGAAAATCTGTTTGATAAGTTCGCAAGTCTAGTAGAAGCGGACCATCTAATGCCATACTAACACAAATATTCACACTGTGTTTGCCAAGTGATTTCAATAAAAACTGTTTTCATTGTGTATAACACATCGTGCCCATTCTTTTCATTTTCTTTCTTGAACTCAGTTATTTTAAATAAATTTAATATTACTTTGTAATTCATCCTGACGATCCTCCGGTTATAAAGCGGTCATGCCTAATACCCGTTGAGGAAATAAGTTTAACCTTAGAATACCACAGCTTCACGTTAAAATGAAACATTGTTAAACGTAATCTCACATGATGCTTTATTATTCTCTTGGTCCACAAATTTTTCACAAATGACAGGAAGCTTAGTATATTTTACTCTCTGTACAGTCGCAAATAATGAACTCGCCCAACTGGAAACTCTCGATAAGAAAACTATTCTAACTAACAACCATTTTATTCTCTCACAAACAGCTGAGTTCTCAATAGATTTGGACTGCTATTATCCAGATCATTTTAATGACCAAATCCCAGTACGGCAGTTTGTTATGCTTGATTTCACAATTCCAATTCTAACAATTTGTGATTGAAAGTAAAGAACACAGTCTAACTACACTACATTTACTATATCAAGTGACGACAAGGCCGTTTATCCAATACCAGAACTCATCAGACCAATTAGTTGTTTTACTAAATTTCCGCTAGGTGATAGTTTTAAACATTTACAATTTTTCACTACAACATACTGTACATTACACAGTGATTTACTTACACAAACGACAATGTAAGAATCTCCAGTGTAGAAAGTGCTGTGATGTTCTTGGGTAAGAAGGACTAATTCCATTTTCTGAAATAATGAAAAACGTAGATTCACATACTTTATAAAATCAACATATTTCTCAGAAAAAGACAAATATAGTTAGCTAAATAGCTTTGTATAGTTATTTGAGCATAACAAAACATAATCATACGCTCATTACGTTTTCTTTCATCTTACAGGTTACGTTTTGGGTAACACTTGGCATCGCTCCCTAGGGTTTTGGTTTTGTCTATATTTGGTTTATTGGGCGCATGTACAAAAGTCACCCTGTTTGTTAAAAAAATCCAGCAGTCAGTCGAAAGGCCACAAAAATAATATAATTCTGTATATGGAGATAAATTATTGAGTTTTGTTATTTCTGTTTCAAGTTAAGCTATTTCTGTAATGCAATCAATAGCAAGTAAACTCAATCAAATGTAGTGTCCAATAACAAGTAAATTCAATCAAATGTGAAACCTCTAATAACAAAATAAATTGAGTTAAGTGTAAAGTATCTAATGACAAGTAAACTCAACTGACTGTAAAGTCCCTAAGAACGGGTAAACTCAATTGAATGTAAAGTCTATATCAACAAGTAAACTCAGCTGAATGTAAAGCCTCTAATAAAACGCTAAATGTTTATCGAGAACAGCTTGTCTCCACCCTATACCTGAAATTTCATTAACAAATCTACGTGCTTCAAACATTTCAAACCTATACTACAGGGCAATTGCTTACAAATACATTCAACTCATGCCACCGATGTCTTTAAAATTTATTATTCAAATGATTGTAAAATACCTTATTGAGAAACACCCATGTTTCACTTTTTTGAGTAAACCAACCTGCTTAAAATACATGAAAAACTCAAGTTAAAAACCATTTCATAACTTTGCTTTGCACGTGTTGTTATCACGACAACAACAACAAAAAAACTTTCATAGTTGACCATACAATAACAAATACACAGCTGGATTTCTACAATGACTTACCACTGATAGCACAGCTAGCCAGAATGGTTTTGTACCGAAAGTAATAAACTAAGAACTAAATGCTTTTAAAATACCAACAAGTTTTTTTCCTATTCCTACTACAGTCTTGCTGTAATTGTATAGATTTTTACCCAGCTAGACCTAATTCTGTAGTGTGTTTTTTCTATTCC